ATTGTCGATCTCTCATCTTGCCCGTCCATCGTAGCTGTAGAAAGCACAAATACAAAATACATATCAATTCAACTATTCTGGACTATGTGACCATGTGACCATATGAATATAATACCATGTGACCATGTGACCATTATTACCATTCTGGCTATTCTGGACCATGTGACCATGTGACATTTTGACCATGTGAATTCCTCACCCTGTAACCATTATTACCAATCCTACTATTATGAATCATGTGACCATGTGACCATGCGGCCATGGTACCATGTGACCATGTGAACATAGTCCCATGTGACTATTGTAATATAGTACCATGTGACCATGTAAACATAGTATCATGTGACCATGTGAAAATAGTACCATATCATTCTTGAAACATATGCCAACCGTTATGCTAATGAGCCATGACTAACGTCACCATGTCACTTTGTGATCGTGTGACCGTGTGGCCATCTCACCAACTCCTCTCTACTGTGACCCGACATTTGTGTTTAGTGATACTCTAGAAACAACATCTAAAATCCAGATCCGACCCGGATCTATGACTATACTATACTACAAAAGATAAAACTTCAAAACTGTCAACAATTAGAAGAAAAAAGGTAGAAGAAGCATCACTGTTCATCATATAAACACCGACAACCATCAATGTGGGTGGAAACAGATAAGATTTTCACATTTTCTTACCTGTTTTCAACTTCTTCAACAATTTCCCACTGATTTTGCTTTGATTTCTACCGATTTTGGAGACAAAATCGCAAGATTGAGATGAGAGAGAAAGTGTAGGAGAGAGAGAGCTCAATGTCGATGAGGGAGAGAGAGACAGGAGAGAGATACCGGAAAGAGAGAGGAGAGAGACCCCGTTTACCCTAATTTTTGGGGGTATTTTTTAATAAAAAATTAAATACAAAAGGGTATTTTGATCATTATTTATAGAAGATGGTATATTAGATGTTGGAAATTTTTTTTTTAAGGAAAGGGTATGAGTGGAAGTTGATGTAGCAGTATAAAACGAAAGTTGCCCACGAGACCCGTGTTCGATTTCCGGCAACGGAACCATGTTTTAGACTGGTCCGTGCTCCAAACGCCGCCGTTTTGTATTTGTCAAACGTCAACGTCGTGCTCCCCGTCGTTCGATGTGAGGAACTGCGATGACACGTGTCATCATCTCAATCGTCACCCAGTCTCGCGGCCCACAGTTTTTTTTCGTCAGTCTCGCTCTATATCCGTATAATACCGTTTCGTTCTCTCGAGTCTGAGCTCTCTTCTTCACGAATCTTCTCTGTGACGCAGCGATCTTAAGGTTCTTCCTCTCCTCCCTCGATGTATCTGATTGATGTCGTCAAATCATGTTCGCTGCCATTGTGGATTTTCGTTTTTGATTCGATGCGTTTACGTTGTTCCGGTCTTGCTGTATAATTCGTTCCATACTTCTTTTTTGTCTTTGAAATCTCTATTGCGCTCCTGACCGCCAAAGACGGCGTAATATTGTTTCTATACATGTTTTAGGAATTGTTTTTATATGAAATTTGAGTGGTTTTATCCGATACAGTTTTCGGATTTTTCTTATTTAATTATAAAGTGATGTATGAGTAGATATGAATTCGACTTTGATTTGATTCCTTGCATGGTTCGTAGATATGGCTTCACAACCGGCTCTGATTTCTGAGACCGATGCTTGGAAGGACTTGAAGGTAATGTAATATGGCTCTCTATGGTGATATATATGTTTTGTCTATGTGGCTGTGTGGTTTTGAGGCGTGATTTTGGATTTGTTCGGTGTTCTTGGGCATTTTCCAGGGTCATGTTGAAGAAATTAGGATGACCCATTTGCGTGATTTGATGGCTGATGCCGACAGATGCCGGTCAATGATGGTGTATGTGCTCTTTTCTGAATTCATATGCTCTTTTTTCGTGTGAATATATGGTATCACTTGACAGTAGGTCTATTGATCTCTTGTCTGGCTACATGGTGCGATTCAAATTGCCGCAATTTCGTTACCATTTAGGAATTTGCTCTGTCACTTGTGTCAATTCAAAATCGCTTTCCTTTTAAGTGATTATCCATAGATGTTAATCTGTTGGGCATTTTCTGTGTTCAGATTACCTGTCTTGATTGCTTTGATGTTGTGGTTGGGATCCTATGCTCAAAGTCTTTCATGGATTTTTCGGTATTAGAGCTTCCTGTTATCTATGATTTTGTATGTAAAATTCCGGTTTCTCTGTTTGCTGTCATCAGGGAATTTGATGGATTGCTGTTAGATTATTCTCGACAGCAGGGCAACACAGAGACCATTCACAAGCTTTTCAACTTGGCAGAGGTGAGGTTTCGATGCTTATTGGCGGAACTTGTTCATTCTAGTTTTTCATTACTTTACATCTGAAGATAATTGTTCATTCTTAACCACAGGCAGCAAAGTTGAAAGAGAAAATCAACCGCATGTTCAATGGGGATCATGTAAGTTCCTGCTTTATTCTTAGGTTGATAATAATACCAGTTTCAGTAATGTAGAACATGCCCATATAAACTCCAACATATTTTAAACGGCAGGTTGTTTTGCTATTGTGTGGAAATTTAAATGGAAATAGCTATTAATGTCATTTTGATGCAGTGTACTGAAACCTGAATCTACACTGTACATTTAAGGATTAAATGAAGACATGTACCTTTGCTTTGCTGGACAAGTTACAGTTTGTGATACTGATATGCACAATGATCGAAAGGACGAACATATTTATATTTTGCTGAAAGCACAGAACATATTTAGATAAACCTTTACCCAAAACCCAGCATAAACTCAAAATTCGTCTCTTCCAGTCTATATGTGAAAGTGACTAACCAACTATAGTTAACTAAAACTAAAAGTAACCATGTAGTTTTGCTGTTGCTTTATTCTACTTAGTAGGAATATAAATGTCCTTGGGTTTCAAGCCCATCAGTTTTATCTGGTACATAGCTTCTGATTTCTCCGTTACAAGCATGGGATGACATTTTACAATACATTTGTATCGTTTCCTTAGATAAACAGTACAGAGGACAGGTCGGTGCTTCATGTTGCTCTCCGTGCACCAAAGGATGCAGTTAGAAACTCTGATGGGAAGAATATGGTTCCTGAAGTGTGGAAGGTCCTCAACAAGATCAAGGAATTTTCTGACAAAGTTCGCTCTGGTTCCTGGGTAATACTCAGTTTTTATTCTTATTCCTAACTTTGTTGATTTGTTTATCCAAATAGTTGAGTTATTTTGCACGTATTGTCAGGTTGGAGCCACCGGGAAGCCACTAAAGGATGTAATTGCAGTTGGTATTGGTGGTAGCTTCCTAGGTCCTCTGTTTGTTCACACGGCTCTTCAAACAGGTGAGTTCATGTCTCCCTTGAACCTGGAAATTATCAATGTTTCTAGCTTGTTTACTTCAAATTCCTTCTGATCCATTGTCATTTGCAGATCCCGAAGCTATAGAATGTGCAAAGGGACGTCAGTTGCGCTTGTAAACACCAAATACTCCTTGCTCTAGAGTCTCATATATGGTTTCTTCTGTTTATATATGTAACTTATTGCTAGCTTGATGAGTATTTTGTGTCTTGATATGCTTTATTCCACTGTTTCCAACTTTTTCTTTGGTGGCCACAAAATTTTCAGTATTAGTTGCTTTTCTACTGTTATGCCTGAGCACCCAACCCTAAATTTTGTTATGGAACATCTTTTGGGGACTGTGTTAAATCACTGCTAACTTGTTATTTGTTTCAGACTCCATTTTGCAATCTAATTTTATGTCTTGCTTTATTTTTGGTTTCTATTTGCAGTCTTGCAAATGTTGATCCTATTGATGTGGCTAGAAATATCACTGGCCTAAATCCAGAAACCACTCTAGGTAGGTGCTGGGCTTATCAATTATTTCTTCGTGTTTCTTTTCCATGTTTTATTCAATCATTTTCTGATCGTCTTTTTTCATCTTTGACGCTGGAATATTTGCAAACCCAGTTGTGGTTGTCTCAAAAACTTTTACTACGGCTGAAACGATGCTGAATGCTAGGACACTGAGGGAATGGATTACAGCTGCTCTTGGGTCAGTGCTCGTAAATTTTTGCCACTCTAAGCACATGGCTGCTTTATTCTTCATAGCAGTTTAATTTTCAGTTATTCTCTTGTGTGATGAAGACAGAATCATTATAATCATGATGGAGAAAGTGCATCTCTCTCTCTCTCTCAGATGACACATACTGTTAGTGTAGGCTTGTATCCCCCCGGTTTATGTATCTTTTAAAACGTTAGCCTACAGAGACACTACTAGGTTACACTGCTAGAGGCAAGCTTGTGCATTTTATTTTATGTAATATCCATAATATGCTTTTGGTGTTCTCTCAATGTTTTATTCAATGGTGAATATGAGGGCACGCATAAATGCTTTTGTGTGCAGCATTCAGTTAACATGAGATTGATTTGGCAGGGCTGATGCAGTCTCAAAACACATGGTTGCTGTCAGCACTAATCTTACGGTATCATTTTTACTCCTACTCCTATTCACAGCATTTGTCATATTGCCTTATGTGATTTTATTTCTTGATATTCTTTTTGTTGCAAAAAATTATCCGTGTCTTATTCTGTGGGGAAGACCATATACATGTGCCATTCTTTCTGACTATGATCCTGTGAGTAAACACATTAATCAAGTTATTCCAATAATTGAAAAGGCACCACATTTGTCAGTAGCCTCCATGTTTTATGGCTTACAATAAATGGTTCGTTTCTAGTTTATGTTCACATTTCAGACAAATAAGCCTCATCAATTTTATGCTCTAATCTCAGAGATTGTTTTTCCCAGCTTGTGGAGAAGTTTGGTATTGATCCAAACAATGCGTTTGCATTTTGGGACTGGGTTGGTGGAAGGTATAGTGGTAAGTTTTGCCCGCTTGTTGCTCTCAAGGGCATCTTGTCCATTTTTATATCTTTGTTTGGTCCTCAACTCAAGTTGTATTGCAGTTTGCAGTGCTGTTGGAGTCTTGCCTTTGTCTCTACAGTATGGGTTCTCCGTAGTTGAGAAGTACGGTAACTTATTTTTGTACTATCCTTGTGATGAATGTACCCAACTAATGCATATATATCTTTTGTGAGATAGTTGCTTCATAGGTGAAAGGATTGTATCTTTCTCTTTTCATTTTCTTTTATATAATTCAATGGATGCCGCTGTGTTTTCCAGAAGAGAAACAATGTTAGATTCATTCTTAATATTTAGTGTTTAGAGTATCGGCTAATGCAATCTTCTTTTGGGGTTGTAGGTTCTTGAAGGGGGCTTCAAGTATTGATCAACATTTTTATTCAACGCCATTCGAGAAAAATATACCTGTTAGTATCCCCCTTGGTGAAAATTGTTGGCCGTCACAGTTCTGCTCTAAAAAACTGAAATTATCCTAAAGCAATGTGTCACTCTAAAAATCTGAAATAACCTTAAAGCAATGTGGCACTGATTGATTGATTATCCCTAGAGAATACTTTGGTATTAGGTTGCTGATTTCTGCATAAAATATATATGCTCTCTTAGTAAATATTAAATAGTTCCAATTCCCTTACTTGAAGAAGAAATGGAGATTGATTTGGTAACTTCTTTGGTGGTTTAGGTGCTCTTAGGGCTATTGAGCGTATGGAACGTTTCATTTCTTGGATATCCTGCAAGGGTGAGTATGTACGTTTGGCAGCAAAAGCTTAGACTTCCATCTTTGTTGTCTTTGTCTATTACCCCATTTTATGTATTAACATAGTTTAGTATTTATCAGGCCATCTTACCTTACTCCCAAGCCCTGGAGAAATTTGCCCCGCATATTCAACAGGTATACTAACTTATCATTTTCTTGTCTCCTGCCTAAGCTTCACCTCTGTCATCCTTTGTTAATCCTTTTCCATATACGCCTGCTTGTATAGTTAAAGGAATTATTTGGTTTAGGTTAGCATGGAGAGTAACGGAAAGGGAGTGTCGATTGATGGATTACCACTCCCATTTGAGACCGGGGAGATTGATTTTGGTGAACCTGGAACAAATGGTCAACACAGCTTTTACCAACTAATTCATCAGGTATTATAACATATCCTTGATTTATTTTACTTGAAACTTGATAAGTTCTTTCACAATTTGTGCTTGCTTAATAAGTTTTCTCGGGCTTATATGCTCCATTTTCATTCATCTCATTGCAGGGGCGCGTTATCCCTTGTGATTTCATCGGCGTTGTAAAGAGTCAGCAACCTATTTATCTGAAAGGTAAGCTTTTGCAGTCTTATTTTTCACTTACACTTTTAAACTCAGATTGATTGATTGGTTTCTGATTTAATTCTCACAGGTGAGGTTGTCAGCAATCATGATGAGCTCATGTCCAACTTTTTCGCTCAACCTGATGCTTTAGCTTATGGAAAAGTAAGTATTTTTTGGTGAATACCACACCTCGGGGATAAAGAGAGATTGGTACAACTCGATTTATCGAAATAAGCATCAGATGTTCCTTTGCTGTAACAAACCTTTTATCTTGTAGGCACCTGAAGAGTTGCGGAAGGAGAATGTGGCGGAGAATCTCATTCCTCACAAGGTAAATGGTTCCAACCGATACATCAGAGATTCTGCTTCTTTGCCGAAATCGATTTTTGGGTTCTGATAACTGTTTTTTTAATCTTCAACAGACGTTTTCCGGTAATAGGCCTTCTCTCAGCCTCTTACTCCCGGCATTGAACGCGTATAACGTTGGGCAGGTCTGTGTTGATCATTAGTTTTGATAGTTTATTACAAAACACAGTCCGCTCTTATAGATATGGATCGTGTTTATAGCTCTGATCGTGCGTTACCCACTGATCAAAAATTTAAAAGCTAAAGAATATTCTCCTTTTTATCAGTTGCTGGCGATATATGAACATAGAGTTGCCGTTCAAGGCTTTGTCTGGGGCATCAACTCGTTTGATCAGTGGGGAGTAGAGCTCGGAAAGGTTCGATCTCCAACCATTTCTATACTTTACATTTTTGCTGTAGTCGATATTAGGGGCCGGGAATCGAATACTCGTGGGTGCCTGACCACTAGATACCCATTTTCGGGAATCCGACTTTTCATGACACGAGACCAATTACTATTATTTTTATTATCCGTCTGATGGATACCCATGTACGTTAACAAATAACATATATATTGCTGTCAATTTGAATATTTACCTTTTTGTCTTCGGATATGAGTTCGAATATCATAACTCATTTTTTTTAATCTTATGCATTTTTTTTTCTTTTGGGTATCCATGGGTTTTTATATAGTTTGTTGGGTACCTGACCCATAGTTTGGGTAACCGAGACTCGGTTACGGGTATGGGTGGTAAATTATGATACCTGGGACCTTCAGATACGAGTTCGGATACCTTGAATTTTTCGGATATCCGATCCATGCCCATCCCTAGGCGATATACTAACACATCCCGAATCTTGGTCCTATGGAATCCACAGTCTCTGGCTACTCGGGTGAGAAAACAGCTTAACGCCTCGAGGACGGAAGGAGCAGCCATCGATGGATTCAATTTCAGCACCACGAC